AATAAAAAAAGGAGCCATGTTAAATTGCCATAACAAAAAATAACGAGTTTCCAGGTTATTAAGCCAATTGAATCTCAAAATCAGAATCCTGACAACTAGGGTTGTATTACACAAAATTACATTTTCATTACGATACTGTAATGTAACTTTACAATATATAACGCATTGTCACATGATAATTGCACTAGCATTACAAAAGCTTTGCCGGCATTAATAGACATCCATTATTGTGTTCGGAACTTTAATTTTATATTTATTTTTATGTTAGCTTTACAAAAATTTTGACCCAAATTATTCACATGATCAAAATAACTGATTTCAGAAACTTACACAAACTTACGTAAAATTACGGTAATTTTCCAACCCTACTGACAACTCAAGATTTTTGCCAAAAAAAAAAAAATTCGCCCACAAAATTTTGGTATAGAAAAGGCTCTGCACAAACCTTAAAGCTAGCCTTAAACATTACAGTACTGCAATATATTTGACTATTAATTTGTTTTTCGTCATGGCTGGGGTATTGTCAATTGAATATATAATGATATAAGTATACAATGGGTGAAGCTCAATTCAAAAAATCATAAGCTAGAAAGAGGGATCGTCTAAAGCCAGGTAGTTTTTAATAAATTTGTAAAGTAAAATCACGTGACACGTATAAATTACTTAGCGTTCGACGATCCCTAGAAAGTGATTGAACAGTTGTACAGAAATTGAACTCAGCCCATGTTTACATTACTTTACATACATGCGTACATGCTCAATTTAATTTTGGGTTATTAAATATTGTTTTGTCTAATAAGGAAATTAAGAAAATTCATGAAAATGCGGAATTTAACAAAAAAATGGCTTCTCTCATTTTGGCTCGAGCAGAAGCGATAATTACTTGTATAAATGAGCTAATGAGAGACAAAGATAATGATTCTTTTAGGCGAAGGGAATTTTATGCAGCTTTTACTAAATTGTCAAATAACTTAAAAAAGATGAAGGACTTTTTAAGTGAAGTAACACAAATTAAAGGTCACCAGCGCCTATATTTTCAGCATCTTTGATGAAAGAAAGGTTTGCCAAGTTGATCGAAGAACAAGTTGAATGTATGAAAGATTTAGAAATTGTTATAACTATTGAAAATCAAAAAGAATTGGAAAAAGTTGAAAAAGAATTTGATCGTGCTATCAATGAAGCGAAATATGTATGTATTTGCCGTGTTTCTTTAAATATAAAATAATTAATCCTTTTTTTTTTACAGGCTTTTGATAATATTAATAATAAAATTGATCAACTAGTTCAAGAAGTGTCCATATGATCAACTAGTTCAAGAAGTGTCCATAATTAAATATAAGGTTCAATCAGAAAAATAATTGTCCGACGCAGCAATTGAACTGAGCAATCCTATTATTACAAAAAATCAAGATAATCGTGGCAGTGTTATTAAAAAAATATATAAAAATATAGAAGTCGCTTGCAAAAAAATTAAAGATGTTGAAGAAATTAAAACTGAACTAACTATCTTGGCAAAAGTAACTATGTCAGCAAAAATTCTCCGTTTTTATGGCATATCACATGACGATAACAAGAAATTTATCGTCTTTGAATGGGCTGAGCATGGAAAGTTAAATGAATTTTATCAAAAGTTTAATATTCCCTGGTCTAGAAAAATACAAATAATTTTGGATATTTGCAGTGCTATATTATTTCTGGATAGTTGTAATATATTACATAACGACATTAGATGTGAAAATGTAATGGTTGGTAAATTGATATTATTTGTTATGATGCAAAAACAAAGCTTATTAATTAGACCTTTAAACATAGATAACTGTTAATCTCGAAGCTAAATTAACAGGTTTCAGTTTTTCGCACATGAAAGGTGACAAATTTGTCGATATTTTATCACATCACCCAGATCTTATACGTTGGATGGCTCCTGAAGTTATTGAGAAGAATCCATGTACATTAAAAAGCGAGATTTTCAGGTTTGTATTAATTTTATGTTTTTTTTTTTAAATTATCTACTTATATTTAATGTATTATTGACCCTTAAATAGCTTTGGAATGCTTATGTGGGAACTTTGCTATGAAAAAATTCCATATAAAGATAAGAATTATAAGGAAATATCAAAATATATCTTGGGTGATAAACGAGAAAAACTACCAATTAAAA